TTATTTGCGTGTCCGATGGTAAAACTAAAAGTGTAGTATACCCCGCAGGTATTGAATGGAAAGAATATCCAAAGTTCCATTTTTAGTACTTTAAATGAATTTGTGCCACAGCGAAGCGTTGCGGAATACAGCTACATAGTTTACAATAAATTAAATAAAACTAAACTTGGTAAATTAAATGAAAAAGAATTCGGCCGAGCTCCTACTCCAATTTGTGGTTTTGCGCCTTGATGTTTTGCCTACAGTTTATACTAAGCCGCATCCGAACGGCTGATGGGTTTTTTACACGGAGCCTTTATTTCATCTCCGATATGCACTCGGAGGGGTGGACATTCTCAGCCGTTGGGCGACCGCAGTTACAAAATTTAACTTAATTTATTATTAAAATTAATTTTCTATAACTTTTGGATGTTGGTCGCACAGGGATTCGAACCCGAGCCTTCCGAATGTCAGTACGCAATGCTAATCACTCGGCCGGTTGTCCGTATTGCCAACCATAAAATATGCAATCCAGCATTGCCCATATGTGAAGCAATCTGTATCTAAATGTAGACCTTATAATTCCCTGGTAATAAGTTGAAAGGGAGTATCGGACGGGATTTTAGTAGTTAAAGAAATGAGGAAGTCTTCACCTTTAAAAGATGCGGTCAGAAAGTATTCCATTTAGGCAAATCATTCCATAATTTATCTCAACCCGAATTTCTTTACGTATAAACCTTCTCAGGAACCGTAAAGACAATCTGAAAAATTTTCAATGCAATCGGTTGATAACTTTCGGTGACTACCGGAACATAATAAACGGATATTAAATTTTTTGATATATTTATAATAAGATTATTTAATATAAAATTGATATATTATTATTTTCATAAATATTATAATTTAATTTATATATTATATAATTATTTAATTATTAATTTTATTTAATTATTAATTTATTTATATTATTTTATTTCATTTCATTTGTATAATTTAATTAACTTTCATTGAATTGTATTTTGATTTATTTATTGTGCTTTATTGTTGTATTTGTATTACCAAAGATTATTTCGTTACATTCAATTTTGTTCTGGATTACTTTATTTTGTTACTAAATATAATTTTTTTGCGTTTTTATTTGTTTCTGTTTAATTTAATTTAATGTGTTTCATTTATTTTACTATATTTTTTACTTCATTATTAATTTTTTTATTTTATTTATTTTGGTTTTTAATTTTATTTCACATTTTTAAATATAAATTAATTTAAATTATTCATTTTGTTTAACTAATTTATTTATTTTTTATATATTTTAATTTTTTTTTGACACAACACAGCTATTTTCCTATATATATAATGTATCTTAAAGTTAAGTGGCAGCATACATACTAACAATATTGTATAAATATGAATTCAGGAAAATAGCTGTGTTACGACAAAAAAATAAATAATATATATATATGTATATACATCTGTTTTTTATGTAGTTTAAAAACTTTTAATTCCTTTACCTTCATAACTTTTTCATGCTTTTTACATTTATTCAAGAAATAAATTTGAAGCGCTGAAAAACGCAGAACTTGACCTACATAAGTATATACACACTCGTATGTATATATACATATGTATATATATGCAGTTCGGTGACCAATAAAACGCATACTAGTTTTCAGAGGGATATGCGTACAGAGATTTTTAGTAAGGTTGAATATTTAGTTTAATTATTTTTACTTATATGTATGTATGTACGAGTATGTACAATACATATGTATTTGAAGTACTTAAAATCATATTGTCTGTACGTTGGAGTGGAACAAATTGCAAATTTCTGCTCTAGTTCATATATGTAAATATGTATTTGGAGAATAATTTTTAAAGAACAACTTTTGTATGATTCAAAATTATTGGCCAAATAAAGCCTTCCGCCTCTTCGAAATGTTTGTTGTTAAAAAGGCAAGCTTATACATACATCTAAATTACATACATATGTATGTATGTATGTATATGTATATGTCATAAAAAGATTAAAGTTTTACAAAAACTGAAATAATAAAAACCGTTATAGTCTAGTGTGAAATGATTATAAATAATCAAATAATATTGTAATTATATGAAAATAACAAAGAAAACTTCGAAAAGCTGATTAAACTTGAACTTGAAATTCTCTGACAAATAAACATTAATCGACAGCAATAAAAGACAGTCAAAAAATATGAAAAAATGCCTGAGAAAAAGGAAATGAAAAGTAAACAATAAAAAATGAATGTTGGAATGTGGCCAAAATGTGTAAATAATTGAAATATTTATGTTTATATATATGTACATATGTCTGTACCTATCATATTCGATTAACATGTATCAAAAAGTGACTGTAATTACCAGTTGACAGCTTAACTGTTATAATATTGTAGCTATTACAGTTATATGATGGATTTTGTTGCCAGAATTTGATCGATTGGAGGTGATGTGGCGACGATTATGAGTTCAGTAAAAATAAATTAAGAGGTGCGACGACCTCGTTAATTTGTTTTCTTGTATCAGCAAAAATGTGCATTTACTTATATATACGTGTATGTATATGTTTGTATGAATGTAATAGTTCCTTATTGGTTTTATGCATGCGAAATACCCAGCAGAAAATATTATAGGACTCATACGAGTACATACTATAACCCATGCTGGCGCGTGGGACACACCGCTCTTTTTAGGGGCTCGAATCAGTTGTAAATAATGTTGTAATACCAAGCTTACGCTGAGCAGCTTCCGCTACACCGGCAACCCTTGATGAAAGGGGGCAGAAAGGGAAAAAACCATTGGAGAAAAGCAGCATTTAACCTTTTGACTGGTTAGTCGAAGTTTGTCATGGTAGTCTCCTGACCAGAATTATCCATTGGCGGTGATCTCAGCATTTGAAGTATTTTTCAGACGGAGGTTGCTGTTATTAAGGAGAGCTCAGCCTTACAGCACAATGAGAGTGGTTTCTGTGAGGCAGACCAACACTTAATCAGCTAGTCAAACGGTTCATGATGAGCTCCAACATTGCTCATTATCATTGTCTGTCCGATTATAAATCATCTACGACTCTTTGGCAATTTCCGGTCTGCTTCTGAACGGGTGTGTCTTGAGCCAGGTCATCGAATGCGGGGTTGCGGTCTCCTTCTCGCGGAAGGTAGACTCATTTCCACTTCGAGAACAAATGTCTCGTACATGATGAAATTGCTGACTGTACATAACATGACTTAACCTAAAGTGAACCATTTTATTCGAGACTGATTTTCAAAAATATTTTATTTTTATTCCATTGTACGAGTATATCAAAAAATCAAATGCCCTTTTTCAACTACCATATCAATTCGATTATGTGTGAACCATTTGCGGAAGATATGAACTAAGCCTTGAAACATTGTTTAAAAAAGATTTTGCAGTAATTTGTATGATTGGGAACCTACGGCTTTTGACTACAACCTACTAGGCTAAATTATAGTTCTCAAATTTTAACTGTCACCGTCAACACAAGTTGAGCGCAAAAGCGGATTATACTGGAGATAAAATGTTGGTTATAATCCAAACTTTGAACTTTCACTGACCTCACGCGAAAAATGAACCTATGCCACTGCCTGGATCTTTGAGATTGGAGTTCACCCCTTATGGAGAGAAAGACCCTTTATTGCCCTGATCAGTGGTGTGATGTTATGAAGATTGTGCGATACTTATATACAATAGAATATTTCCGTTCGCGCCTTACCCATACAGGAACAATGGCAAATCTAGGAGTGATAACGCTACATTCCAAAAATGATCACTTGTGAAAACGGATGATCAGAACAGATTTCTGGTATGTGTTGATGGTAATAAAGGAATTCACGTATGAAAAAGTCGAGTTAAGGTGCAACCTCCCTATGACATGCCGGTTATCAGGCTCAAATCGTATCATGGCACATAATTCTTAAAACCTGGTGGAACGAAATGTGAAGGGAACAAGTGTTTCGTGCTAGAATTTTAAGAATGATGATGAGTTTAAGAGAAATATTTATGGTATTGGAGACAATATATAATGGAGCTGCAAGACACGTGACGCTTTTCTCGGTGCTCTTAAGTGGATACCAAATACACACACTCTACTGTAGTTCTTAAAGTCACAAGGATGCTATCTGCACTTAAATTGTCATATCGGCAACTACTGCAACCTCCCCACCAATCTCAAGGGCATACACTTTTGTTCATGTCATTACCAAACATAAAATCCATCCGATCTTAATCAACGCTTAAGCGTTCTTCTTCTTTTGGATTGGCACTGCTTACGCGATTAGAGTGGACACAGGACGCCGGTCGTTTCTTTACTTCGAAGATCGATGGCATCTGAAGCATCTAGTGAAGTCCGGCACCAACAGAATGAAGCAGTTCCCCTTACTCTACCACCACCGGCGGATACTGCATCGAACTCTTTGAGAGCCGGAGTGTTTTCATCCATGCGAGCGACATTATCTAGACGTAGAGCGTAGCCAATGCACACACACACATTTCCGTATCAAGTCTGGTTAAAGTGGTGAAAGCAGTGCTAACGGCGTGGTTGTTGGGGCCAATAATAGCGATCTAGAAATTACCTCAAAATTCCAATACTTACAATAATAAAGAACGCACTTCTTAATTTGCTTTATAGTATACTTGTATCCATAATTTAATTTACAAACATACATACGTACACACATATTTATGACGGTCATTTAATCAGCATACGAGTATTTCTACATATTACATATGTATATTATTGAGTAAGTATGTAAGTATAAAGGATATTTTTTTTGAGGCAACGAATGACCTTCATATTCAACTTCAAAAGAAAAAACAAAAACAAAAACAAAGTGTGTATAAAAAAGCTGTCAATCTGCAAGCAACAGAATCGGTTGCAATATTTTCGCTTTTCGTGCAATTCGTAGCAGCCGGTGGTGAGGCTTGTGTGTATGTGCATACTCGTATGTATATATAAGTGCGTATACAGTAGCAATTTCAAGGACACTTACCTGCTGACGAGATTGTGATGACGTCGTTTGATAGGTATAATATTTATCACTAGTCCTTTTAATGTTTTCTTTTACTCAACTCGGAATTTGAGATTATGATTGTAAAATGAATGTTTACATATACATATACATACATACGTAGGTGTGATAATTAAGTTTTATGAATTTCACATTTTCAACGCAAATTAATACACATTTTTACGATATTTTCTAAGAAAATTTGTAAAATTCTTTTTGTTGTACAGTTACTAACGGTAACTTTTTTACGCCAAATTATCTATAAAAATTTCACTTTTCCAAGACACACAAACACACGTGTGTTGCAAGCAGTTAAATGAGAAATAAAAAAATTACGGTATTTGCGGCTTCCAATCGCCACCGCTGTTAAGTATGTCCATAGCCGTGGTGCGTCTACCCGCAACTGAGGCACGAAGCAGAGCAGACGAGCTTGGCAATCAGCTTGGCTTGCAGATAACTACCGCTGATAGCAGTACTCGAACAAACACATGCGCGCGCAAACAGATTCTGAAGTTCAGAGCCATTACTACACACATACACATACACACACACATATATTCGTACGTAAAAAAAGTTCGCGGTGCCAAGAGCAGCTGTTACCAATGATTAGCACACCATCAAAAGCCGCTTAGCCGCTGTCTTAAAGGCAATGAGTTTGATACTTTTGCCAAAAAAAAAACTGCTTAAATCTACATAAACACATACATACATATATATAGATACGTGTAAGTAAATATGTAAGCAAATACCAGCTGCCCTCGGCGTAAAGATTTTCCGTTTTACCTTTTCATTTCATACTTTCAATTTATGTGTTTTGTTTTGCTCACGGTATTCGCATGTATACACCGTTGGGCGAACGGCGTGTGGTACTTCATCTGAAGCTTTAGCATTTTCACGGCCAACACGAAACTTGTTCGCGCTGATGCTCACTAGATGAGCTTTTGTTGTTCTTATGCGGTCCCTAAACTGCGTGAAAATATTGTACAAACCGAAACTTGTGCAAGTGAATACTGGATTAGCATGTATATCGTTGAAACAAAAGTTGGACCGAAGGTTAAGTTACAAACAAACAAAAAATGGTGTGGATATTTAGCGGATTAAGCAGGCGACCGACCGGTTAGCAGTGGGTAGGGTTTGCGTCCTGGCCCGACCACCATACAAAACTATAGAAAATTAATTTTTTCACTTTCGGCTGCTATTCGGCAGGGACACCGCTTGCATCGCAATCCAAATTTTTGCTTAATATGCCTCTCTGCGAGAGTGATGCCTACGTTCCACCGTGCCACCGTGTAGCGCACACCCTATATGCCCATTTAGGCTCCTTTTGCAAGCACTTTGTAGAAAGTCATTCCAGAGTCATAGTACGTACGAGTGCATATTTTGTGAATATTTGCTTGCAGTATGCATATGCGCTGGATAAATAAATTTGCAGGACTGAAAGTAGCCTACGTATGTACATATGTATGTATGAATGAAAAGCTCGCTGACTGTAAGGAGAGTTGTCTTCGGTCAAGCCAAAGCCGTTATACCTTTTATGACATTATCAAATTTTTGGTATTTCATTAGTAGAATACCGAATATCATACTCTTAGAAGCCTTTGAACTAGATTCCGGCACAAAAAAAATTCATCAAGCTACTTGTGCCGTCTCCAGATTGAAAACGTACAATCTGAGGACCCAATATCGGATCGGACTATTATCTTGTGGCAGCAATATTACGCACCCACCTCAGTGCAACGAAGCTGCAATCACAACAGAAAACTGAAAGGTTCTCTACTTGACTTCAGTCCTGCAAATCGGTATAAGGGAACTGTAGGATGGAATTCCAAGCTCCCTACGTACAGTTGCATACGAAACTACTGGTGTTCGAAAGGCTACAAAAAGAGCTGGTACGATGAGGAATGTCGAACTTCATTGGAGAGGAAGCAGGCTGCCTACCATCCTCCATAACACGTGTGGGATGGGATAGATACTAAGAGCTTAAGAGGGAGGCAAGACGCTTTTGGCCGAAAAATTTTCGACAAATTATTGTGGGACCCAGAGGAGTAATCCAGTGTCTGACGTCCAGAGTAGACTGAATTTATGGAGGAAACACTGCTAAATAGCAGTCAAAATGAAACACCCGGAGAGGGGAAAGCCGACTTCCCAATCGAACTTAAAAGGTGCCTCAGCTTCTTTGTAAAATATGTATTGAGCGGGCTGATAGGACTCTAGGCTTTCGACCTAATAAATCAACCATTGTTCATATATTCACTATGCACCAAATCTTGAAAAAGACCCATTAAAAGTAGATCGACGCACACCACCGATTTGAAATCATCCTTTGACTGCACAAGAAGGAGCTGCCTTAACGCAGCTATGTCTTAATTCAGTATCCCCGCAAAACTTTTACGACTATGCAAACTAAGCAAACTAAGCAACACTAAAAGCTCCGTCAGGATAGGGAAAGGCCTCTTCATGCCGTTCGAAACCAAACTTAAAGCTAAACAAAGAAGGTGCACTCTTCTATAAGAGTGTACAGCTACTGGAGTACGTCGATGATATCGGCTTTCTCAACACTGGATAGGTCTGGTAGTGATCGAGGGCAAGACGAAATATCTCCTGTCATCAAGCAAACAGTCATCGCATTCGCGACTCGGCTCCCACGTCACTGTTGACAGTCATAATTTTGAAGACGTAGATAATTTCGTCTATCTAGGAACCAGCATCAATACCAACAATAATGTCAGCCTTGAAATCCAGCGCAGAATAACCAACAGGGGCTACTTTGGACTGAGTAGGCGATTGAAAAGTAAATTCCTCTCCCGACGAACGAAATCTAACTCTACAAGTCGCTCTTCGTTCAAGGGAGGCAAGGACGATGACAACATCTGATGAGTCGGCGTTAGGAGTTTTCGATAGAAATGTTTTTTGTAAGATTTATTGAGCTCTACCGGGAGCGACGAATACCGTGATTGAATGATGAGCTGTACGTCATGTGGTCCGGATGGATAAGAATACTCCAGCTCTGAAAGAATGTGATCCAAATAAAACATGCAGTTCAGGTCATCATTATGACATGACACAGGATTAATCGTTAAATAATTCAATAAATAGCGGCGATGACTAATTTCGGATTACGGTTCAAGTCAATTATTACTGTTATTATTGTATAAATGTGTGTGTACGTTGGGGATGGAACTTATTAAGAAATATTCCAATTGACAAACACTTCAAATATTTGACCCAATTCTAAAAATGGGTCGATTAATGTCGGAGTTACAGATCAAAATATGTATGTATGAGCATAAGTGAAAAGAGAAATATGAAAAATATTTAATATCGTGCCGTTTAAAGTTTCTCATTAAGTAAGAAAAATCAGTCTCTCCGGGAAAACCCATGATGGACAAGAGGCCAAGTTTATTTAAGCAAGGAAAATCTTTGCATGACAAAGGTCAGCGATGGATGCCGAGAAAGCCTACGCATCCGCCACGATTCTTCTATTAAATAATTTACTTTTACGTCCACTATCTGAAGCAAATCATCGAAGAAACCCGCTTCTGGATAGGCGAGTCAAGTTCTGCCCAACGTGGTCGTTCCTGCAGCTTCTGCACATCTCCTTAAAGGAGCTCTCTACCTGGGAATCTCCTCTGCAGTGCAATTTGTCTTCTTGTAATTGTAGTAAGTGATTTATTAGCTGTCTGTCTGTCGCTGAAAATAAAGATATTATTGTTCGTGACAGATCCAATTTTAGCTTGCCCTGACCCTGTAATGGACGGGTAGTCTGAAAGTGAAAGGTAGTAAAAGTTGTGTTTCTTAAGAAAACACCTCCAACCAACTTCTTATCCGGTAGGTTGTATATCAACACACAATCTTCATTTTGGTGACCTTTAGAATTACTGCCCTAACATATCGGGCATACACGTATTATTGTTGCTCTGTTCAACAGGACATCATAAGTCTTGGGTATTTTCGTCTCGATGCTCCTTGCTGATCAGTAGTACTTCATTACTGCTCATTATAGGGTATTCTTTCTCAGACTTGCGCTTACATCCTACGTTTTCCGTCTTGTGGAGAGCGTTGTTAAGTCGCGTTCGAAGTGTACTGATTTTACATTGTCATCCACTTCCTGGCATTGATATTTTGATTGTTACACCATCCCTACTTTTCTCCTGGAGGAATTGCGGAATATGCATACGAAACAGGTAAACCTAATGTTAGACTTGGATACGCAAAGGTGTCCAGTTTGGTGAGTATGTCCTTTACTACTTGATGCACAATGAGATTTTTAACCTTTGCAAGGTATTCTGCAGGGCTTGATTTCAGCCATTCCAGATATTTTTGCAACACAGGAATCATTAAAATTTACAAATATTAAGAATAGGGAAATTTCAGGCATAATAGAGGAGGTGTGGAAAGCTAAATCCAAGAGAGGTAAATTTTTAAGGTTTTTGTTTGATTTTATTTTTACTTTCATGTGGCAGGATAGAGAATAAAAACGCTACTCCCATCTCCTCCCTCCAACTCCTGCCGGCAACTAAGGGTCACCCTAACGTGGGTACATATACATATGCAAGTAAGTGCGTCCCAGTGAAAATATATGGAAAGGCTTATTAAAAAAGACTGTATTCATTGTGGCCTGGTCTTTCTACTGCATAACATATGCGATAACGGAATACTTTAAAATATATGAACATATGTACATACATAAAAGCTAGCTGGTTCTTTATATATGTATAGTAGTATATACATGTATTTAAGAAGAAAAAGTTCTGACTGCTGATAAAAACATTCCTCCAAGAAACCGAAATGAAGCATTAAGGAAATTTCAAAAATTCAGTTGAATGTCGTGGGTCGTGATAGAATGAAGTGCTTTTTCGTACTCTACATAAATATATTCGCAGTTATTATGCTTTCGTTAGTAATCGGCGATGGCAAAGATATAGCAAATGTCGACTCCGACGAGCCGCTGACAATTTTCATAGATGGAGCAAACGAATTTGAATCGCTGCAAAAATCGTTGAAATCCATTGAGGATAAGTTGAAATGGTGAGAAAGAGAATGACAAAGTATTGATAAAGGGTGATCGGAAAATTGGTTAAATGTGAAAATATTTAAAACGCTTAATTTAGATTTGAGTAATGAAAGGAAGAATTATATATAAAGAAGACGTCCAATAATGCTAAAAACATTTTTATTTGTATTCAAAACATGTTCTTTAACTAGGTTTTGATATTCATATCAAATTCATATTTCTTTTATCATAAATTACTTCAGATCGAAGCGAATTTAGTATGGTGGAGGAGCTACTAGGTCAGCGAATTAAAATATTTTTTCATTTCATTATTTCGCTTCAGTGTAAAAGCTGTCAAAATGTTTATTTATGTTTATATCTAATTTGAAATATTTAACTGTAAAATTTACATTTAAAAAAAAAGGTATGGGTCGTTGTTGAAGCGGCGGTTGGGCAGTGAGCAGTGCTTTTAGGCCGATAGGCCCATTGTTACATTGAATATATCTGATGGCAGTTTTAGTATCGAAATATAACGCAACTGATAGCCCGAAGACAGTAGGCTTGAACACCCATTCGGCGGCTTCCATGACTGCAAAGAGACGATCCAGTGGCTGGCCTCGTAGTATCAAGCTCATATTTCATTGTATTGCAATTCGTTGTGTTTTGTGTAAAAAAATGTAGAAAGGGGATTTGGATACTTTTTTCTAAGCTCTGCAAGGTAAAGGTTCTACATCTTTCTGAAACCGTGTTTGCCAAAGAGAGTTGAAAAAAGGATAAAAGGGATTTGGTATGCACAGACTGCAAGGAGAAATGAAATATATGGTAATTTATGCATTTGTTCTCCTGCACTTTTTTTACGCATATCGTGGCAAGGTGAAGTTACTATGGCAGCGAATTAACGTTTTTTTTTTTAATTGAAGGTGGGGATTGTCAAAATTATTTATCGGTTTATGTAATTGTGACTCACAGCAAAGTAATGCAGCTGTGTAAATGATATGCTGCACAGTTCCTTGTCCCGATTTCACCATTTCCGCGATTTCCGCAGACTTTTACCATCGTTCACTTCAATACTTGTTTGGCGATTACATTATAAATGCGTAACTACTTATTTGTTACCTTATAGATCATGTATATTTTGATAATAAATTTCAATAATAATAAAAAATTAAAATTAACAATAATCGTTTGAAAGACGATTCATTGTTAAATTATAGCAAAGATGACTAGATACGAAACTCACTCAAAATCACTCAAATTGCAGCTGAGTGCGTTACCCCATCTCACATTCTAATGTTGGCAGCAGTGTCAGATCGGGGAACGTTCAACGGCTGATGTGCAAAACTCACCAGTACCACTATGCTACTAAAAAATCCATTGCTTTTGTTTCAAAAGAAGCGAAGTTTTAATTAAAGACATCGTCTACGTTTGTTATAAAATATCCAAAATAAAACTAAAATCCAAAGAAGTAATTTTTTATCATAGTGGTATTGTTAAGAAATGTTTTAAAAAATGCTGATTTTCGAATTTAAACGAAATAAAGAGTTTCGTATTTAGTCATCTTTGATTATAGACCAAACTGAGGATGTTTGACAGTGATACAAAACACAAAACGTGCGTCAGCTGTTTAAACCAGTGTTGCCAAAAAAATAATAGCTAAAGAATCACCCTTTATTACGTTTTATATTGTTTTACATTTTTGTGTAATATTTTTAATTTTTTGTACAATATCAGATACCATTTTATTTTAATCATTTTATTTTAATATATTGTATATTATCTTTAATTTTTATTTTTATTTATTTTACAAAACTCTTTTATTTTCGTACTCATCTCTGAGGCTATATTTTTCTCTTTGTTTAGTATTGAAACTTGCAACAAAAAAATGGAGTGGCGTTTGGCAGCACTCGAGGTGAAACTGGATAATGAGTATTCAGCAGGAAATGGAGCGGCTTAAAGTCAAAACGATTCGTTCGTAATTTATGTTAAATATTAGATTTAAATATTATTAATTAGTTTTAAAAAGAGTTAATAATGAAATAAAATAATTAGCAAGTAAAATGAACAATTCCTGCATATTTATTTACTTACATATATACATATTTAAATGAGTTGTCCATCGCACTTCTGGGACGGCGGTGATGTCTGGCTCTATTCCTATGAGAACATCAACCAGATGTGCAGCAGCACCAAATAGGGGACCGGACATTACAGGTGCGTTTCCTCAAACCTTGATCCTTTAAACATTTCCGGGGGTCATCATGGGGAGATGGTATCTCATTCGAGGGATTATTAATATTTTTTATTTTTTTTTCATTGAAGCTGGTTTCTACGTGACGGGCTCCAAGCCCAGCACACAACATCGCCGTTTTACACATTTGTATAGCGAGCTGCTTGTCCGCTAGCAGTTGCACCTCTGGTGAACAGACGCTGCAAGCAGCGGTCCCTTAAATCAAATAAGTCGAGGTGGCTCCAGTGAAGCTTTCTCTCATTTAGCAGGGACCCAAGGCTCCATACGGGTTGGCTAACCAAACTTGCACAATGGTTGCTCACGTTTTCAGGGTACCCCACGTGGATGAAGGAGTAGGAATTGAGTGTAGTCCCGTGGCTGTAACTGCATACCCAGAATTTTGACTACACTCCATTAGACCACTAATATTAGTTCAGAAAAATCCTTAGCTAAAAAAACATTATTGAAATCACCCATTTAGTTCAAGAGATTACAATTTATATTACGTTATTTTAATGCTGTCTCTAACCTCAAATAACACTAATTTTTGTTGAGAGCCCGCCAACACCTTTTTATATATTGTTCCCGTGAATGATGTGCTGGGAATGAATCCACCAGCCATAGTAAATTAAAAACACGAGCTACCTCATTAGTGCCGACGCAGTTAGGGCCTGGATACTCTAGTCGACTTGAGTCCTACTTATTCAGACTTGTCAGAGACCGAGACTAACTAACGTATGTCCTTCATGCATGTATGTCTTTCATGTTCCTCGTACGATGTTAACCATCTCTTTGCATACCCTCTAAAATCTCTCACACGTTCCCGAAACGAATGCATTACATTTGTAGGCCAAATGACAAACCAAAAACTATACCCAACTGAGTCACTCATGCAGTAAGTTTAAAGGGGCAGGCATTTGTAGAACAGTGGAACACCTTCTCTGTTTCTATGCGATCTTATCTACGACACATTTTTGAAATGTAGAACATACGCGGCTCAGAGGACTAGAAAAGGTTTCAGTTCGTGTTAAACATATCAAAGAGAGTCCTATGCAACGACAATTACACCTTGAATTAACTTGAAACGCCACTATAAATGGCGTAGCGGTGAGCCAGTGATTCTTTTATGAGCTTCTCATGCAGAGAAATTATTACGTGCGTAAGAAGCGATCAGGCTCATTGGGTTTTTTTTAAGTGTAGCTTTTGGCTCACCAGTATCGATACACTCCACCCCTTCGACATATTTAAATTGGTCCTCCAGAGTGGAAGTTGTTAGCACCGTGAGGCTTATGCAGTTAAGTAAACTGATGTTTGATGGGAAAAATGATTGATTCTTAAAGAGCCTATTTTCATGCCAGCAAATTTAATCAAGTTATTGATACTCTCCGCCGTTTTGAATGTTCATCTGGCAGGAATTAAGACTATCTTTAGAGAGAGGAGTAACGACCGTTTGGACTGAGTAGATGACAGAAAATCAGCGGATGGTCACAAAGAGCCATTACAGATCTCTAGACAGCCCACTCAGCGCGGGAAGAATCATGCATGAAGGTCTTCAAAAAAAGTTTTGCTACGGTTTCTTAATAAAAACAACTTTTTATTTATTCTAAAATTAAATTACAATAATTTCAAAATATATGTATTTTGTTTATAAAACATTACAGATTCCATTCACTAGTTACCATTACACTGCTCAGGACGAATCATCATACATATGTTATCCGACAAAGTACTAGAAAAAAATGAATAAAAATAAATAAGACATTCACACATAGGACAACTTACTCTCTTCGAAAGCCCCCAACGCATTGGTCATTGTACCACCAACTTCGTCCGTGTAGCATGGCACATTTGCTATTGGTGGAAAACTTCCAAGTTGTGCTTAAGATTAAATCATTTAAGCCTCCTGGAATTTTCTCAAGGTCCATCGGAATAGTGACGGCGTAACTGAATATCGCATTCGCAATGCGGAAATCCTCGAAAATATATTCCTTGCCAAACACATAGTCGGTAATCAGCATGAGTTGCGGTGAACGATTTGTCAGCGCATGCAAACGATCCAATCCAATAAAGAGATCACCATGGGCGTTGCCAAAGCCATTTTGGTATTCATTCCAGTCTCTTTGAAAGACCCGTTCTGCACTCGCCGCACTGCCATGCATGATCACAGTCCACGCACAACAAGAGCCCGCCAAACACTTGGTCACGCAACGCACTTCCCAGGGTGGAAAGTGCGCCACATTTATTTCATACACGCCGTCCTTGTACCGATCACCGAGTTTCATTTTGACATCCGCACAATCCGTATAAGTGGTTGGCATATTTATTCGTGGCGGTGCGTAATGCACATCAAACTGCTTGCCTTCGCTGAAATAAATATTATACATGTGTATGTAATGAGGAGCTTTTGATTTTCATGTCAGAAATACAGTCGGCGGCGTTGACATTCTCTGCCGAGGGGCAACAGCAATTAGAAAATTGGACTCAATTTTTTTATTTAAATTAATTTTCCATAACTTCTAGATGTTGGTTGTGCCCGGATTTAAGCTCGGGCCTTCCGAATGGCAGTACGCAATGCTATCCACTCGCCAAAGGCGGCCAAAAATAAGATACTACCACGTCTGGCACCATGGAATCGTGAACAACCCCTGAGTCGCCCTTTACTGCTAAAAGAGAGAAAGCTTCAGTGAAGCCGCTCAGTATTATTCGGTTTAAGGATTCGCCGAAGCCTAATGGACGACGCGTTGCAAAAAGAAAACCCCACAAACATATCGATCATGTTGTAATAGACGGACGACATGTATCCACTGTTCTTGACGTGTGCTCACTCAGCTGTCGTTACTATATTTTAACAGCAAAAATACACAGCCGCCTCTGGGCAGCAAAGGCCCCTTAACAAAGACAAAGAAGTTAGACGTCAAGAAGCTGAAATCACAACAGATAGTTCTACTCGGCTTACTCGGTAACTGAGAGAGAGAGAGATACCGACACTTGAAGTGGGTATAATAGGTGAGTATGGGGAATTTGAGGAAATGGCCGGCGGGGGTAATGCTCTAAAGTTCTACGAAAGATGTGGCTGCTTAAAGAAGGTTTCGTGACCAGAACTTTCTTTTGTAGAACACAAAAAAGTGATCTCATGACTATCTATACTTGGCTATTTCAGAGTTTTCTAAGTTTGCTGTCCTCACAAAGTTTAAACTGCTCTGTAAACTGACGTAAAACACCACTGTGGGATCCATCGGGATCGGGAAGTACACCAATAATATGCGAGTCTGGAAAACCAACGAAGATGCACTCTTGCCAGGAGTTGCTTCTTTGGACTGGACAATTTGGACAATTGAAAAGTATAGTCCTCTCTCGGCGAACGATGACCCAACTCGTATAAGTCGGTCATCGCGTCCGTGCTGCTATATGGTGCGGGAGCATGCACGATGACATCAATTGGAGCGAAGAGCTGCGAATCAAGAGACAGCGGCCCTCACTGGATAGATCACCATCCAGCTTTGCAAGTTTTCGATACAGTACCCGCTCGTGGAAGCAGAAGAAGAGGAAGACCTTCGCTCCGTCGGGAAGATCAGCGGTTGTTATCTCGGCTTTAATATATTTCTTAAATGGAATGCCCATTTCTGGCACTTCTTTACATTACATGTACGATATGCATTTTTGGAAAGCATTTTTCAATAAATATATTCTGAATACTCACACTATGCGCGCGCTTTGTGAAAACTTTAGCATTTTCTCCATTTCGTTGAGTTTTTCCATTAGAAGTTGAATGCTTCTGAGAAGAAATTAAAAATTATTCATAAAATATTGAATTTTTTTCTACAAATTAAAAGTTTTGAAATAATATTTTAAATTACATGTATACATACGTGTATGTATGTATTTAAACAGCTACTACTTTCTTAAAAATAACATAAAATATTACCTCATCTCTCGGCCTTTAGTGGAATCCAATGTATTTTCTATATCCGTAAGACGGCTCTCGAGAGCTGTTATGGAAGACTGTTCCCTAAAATAGATTTAGAAGTGATTGTTTTCTTATTTTACATTCATTTATGTTTAAGAAATGAATCGAGAAGATAAATCAAAATTTCAACAAAAAGAGCGAGTCAAAACGACCGCATTCTTTCGGGAAACCCTAAAGATTCTACGGTTTCGGCTGTACGAAGAGAAATGTCAATGTCATTGGATAGACGTATATAAAACCATTTTGATGTGTTGAAAATCATCAGCCTTTAAAATAAAAAAAAAAACTTTTTAAGAGTACATTGTGTCTTGTGTCTTCACATCCTGTAACCTGATTATGTACAAATATAATTTGTGGTATTGCGTCTTGATGATTTTCCAACCAAAAGAATGAATCTACAGTTTATACTAGGCCACCTCCGGACGGCTGAAGGTTTTTTACGAGGAGCCTTTATTTCATGTGAGAAATACATGGGATGGGTTGAAATTTCCTGCCGTGGGGAGACCGCTGAAAAAAATTAATTTCATTTTTTATTTAAATGATTTGATTTAATTTTTGGATTTTGGTCGGACCTTCCAAAGGGCAGTACGCAATGCTAATCAGTCGTCACTTGCTATAAGATGCCCACATTTTGATGGGTTAACGGTTAACAGGCAGTTATTTCACTTTAGACTGATTTTTATGTTAATTCTTTTTTTTTGACCGATTTTGGACCCAAATCATTGCCTCTATGGTACAAATATGATTGATATATTCCACCAACCGAAAGGAACTAGTTTGCGTTAAAACAGACGGGCCTGGCTAAATCAGCTCAGGTCGTGCTTAGGATCCGATCCATTTAAATTCTCGATGTAATTTTTTCTTCACAAAATACTCTCTGTGTTTGAGTTTGTGGTTAAATACTTCGGCCGAAATCCAGCAAAGAGCTTTTGCAAAGTGAAAAGGCCGGACCTATGGTCTTTTTCCAAGCCACCTCCAACCGGCTGTTGGATTTTTATTATTTTATTTCAAATACACTGAGGGGGGTTGAAATTTCGTGCTGAGGGGCGATCGCACTTTTTCTTTATTTTGGAATGCTATTCTGAGCAGAGTTCGAGCCCATGAACCTCAGTATGGTGTCAGACACTGTGCATCCCCCGACTACTGTGCACTCCACTTGATTAACTTGATTTGTAAGTTGCTTTAAATCGGGAGGCAAACCCACCGAATTGATCAACTCTAGAAATGTCTATGCACTCACTTTTGCTTACTGTCGGCAGTGATCTCATAATCACTCTCTAATTTCACCAAACGTTCATCCATTGACTCCATGAGTGTTTGCACCCTAAGGGGGGGAACAAGGAAAGTAAGGTTATGTTTTCTTCATTTTTTGGTTATCTCTTTTTTACCGAAGTAACATTTTCTCGAAATCATCCTGCTTGCTGGCGTATAAATTCATGGATTTCAAAAGCGTCTCTACTTCCTCACCCGCGTCTACGTATATGGTCAAAGGCTGCGCTGGGACGTCCTCATCCTGAGCAGCCGCCACAATGCCGACGTTTCTTTGCAATTCCAGTATTAAATAAAGCAAACACGCCGCTAATTGCTTGTACATTTCGCGTTGCATTTATGCATAAAACTGCAGATGATTTGCCTAGAGCAGCTTACGAAGTCAAGTTTAATGTTGAGCTTCTCTTATCGGCAAACGGAAGTCAATAGCAAATCACTTTAGAGATTTTCATAATTTTTCTTGCTAAAAAAAACTTATCGATAGCTATAATGTATTCATGACGGCCGTTGCAGTCGACTGATTAGCACCACGTGCTATACTATTCGTAGGGTCATGGGTTTGTGTGCTGGTCGGACCAACCTATCCAACTACAACTTTAGGCTATTTCTTTCCTTAGTCAAAGACGGAGTGAAACCAGCACCGCATATAGGAGGAGGAACTCGGCTGAAATATCATTATCACCAATTGGGTATGCGGTAGAAGTATTCCTACCATACTCTGCAGATCACCTCTATCTTTCCTACATGAGTACACCTCGGATTTGAAAGCTTCTAAGAGAATTCTCGAGTATTTTCTCTGTCGATCAAATTGCCAAGCTTTCCATACTCACGTATGTTTCCTTTGGTGTCTCTTTACACTTTCCGGTCGATTGCATCTAAGCGAGTTAAGGAGTACTTTTTCTCTCCAAAATATCCTCACAGATCTTCTATCGACGTTGTCTTAACCAAATGATTCGGTGACGGTGATACGTAGGCTTCTAAAGATGCCGGTGCCGCAGTGAGAAGGAAGAGGTTAAGGTAATAATGCTGAATTACCTGCGGTGATTGAAAAGTAAAGTCTTTCTTCTCGGACAGTGACAGAGTTGATCTTTGACAGAATCCTGCAGCTGCGACAAAAAATATTAAAATATCTTCCATTCTCTTGCCGGGAAGCCCCATTGAAAAATGAAGAGCTTTTAGTGACCAAAATAAGGTCATTTTCTCTTCTAGCTCGCCCTCAGTTCAATTGCTCTATCTCGGTCGTGCTGCATTCCGATTGTCTGTTCAGCGTACTTTGTTTATGACCGTTATTAATACAAGTTCCTGTAGCCTGTAGTAGTTCTATTTAGTAGTCTGGATGACGCATCTTGCGATTTAAGGACCTAAGACATCGGTAAGTGAACTCCTCAGCCTATCTTTTCATCGAATGTTAGATGAGTATGGCTTTCTGATTTAGAATAATTACGTTTTCTCGAGTCGTAGTTAGTTCAAAGTTAAAAAATATTTCAAAGAAGTTTCACTGCTTCCGTTAAGAGGGCAGCTGAAGACCATTGAACTCTATGCTCATTTACTCCGGAAAGAAGTTTCGTTCAGAATGGACCGCTGTATATAAAATCCAATGAGCATATGACTGCCTTAAGAGGAAGTGGAGTAAATTAGGTATTTAGAGGCGGCGAGAAACTACTTTGCTTTGGAAAAGTCGTGTTTTGGTATTAGTCCCCACATTCAGGAACACACAATTCTTTAGAGACGCCGAGTACCTAATCCTTTCTGGAAAAATTGAGTCGCGCTAAGGACACTTTTGCGCCTGCTCGGAAACCATTTTGTAGACTTCCTTAATATTTTTTAGAAGCGACCAAAGTATGTGAGAATGCCAACAGGTGGCAACATTGAAAAAATAATTCTTCTACTTTTTCACTTTTTCGACGTTGAAACTTCAAATCTCTCTGTGCACACATTTTTACCTATATTTTTGATCATATTCATCTGACTTGCACCGGTTTCCGCCGCAACCTTTCCACCGATGGCACAATGCAACTCATGGGATAGAGTGTACGGCGGCTGTGTGCAGACCTGCGTGCGCAAGAATAACATTAAAGCTGAGAGTACCGGCGTGCGAGCAGCATTCTTTTTTCCCGCCGGTGGCGCCTATAAAGGTTATTGGCTTCGAAATCAACATCATCGTTATGGCGTTAAAGAGTCGGACAAACATTTCATATACGACGGGCAGTGGCGTCATGGCAAGCGTGACGGCCACGGCACTATGCGTTATCGACTACCGAAAGGCACAATGGAGCGTTTGTATATTGGTGAATGGCATGACGACATGAAGTGGGGCGAGGGCAAGCAATTCTTTCGCGATGGCGTCTATTATGGTTGGTGGGAGCGGAATAGACGACATGGTGTGGGTGTTATGTGGTATAATAACGGTGCAATTTATATGGGTGAATGGGAGGCGGATGTGAAGCACGGTGTGGGCGTTTTATTTTATGGTGAGTTGTTGTGACGAGTAGAAAATGGAGAGACCTTATTGTTTTCGATTTATTTGACAGAAAACGGCAATCGTTATGAAGGACATTTTGCGCGAGGCTTCAAAAATGGCGAGGGCACGTTCTATCACATGCACACGGGTCAATTACAAAAGGGTATGTGGGAGAATGATGTGTGTAAAGCTTCGATGGTCATTGACGACTTCCGCAATCACGTTGACAGACCGACGCCATATCCCATTCCAGAGGTGAGCGCGGTTCGCAATAAACGGAAAAATGTTTTTAGTTCGACTAGATATTAATATTTTGGATATTCGTGTGGTTCTGTATATTCCACAGCTCGGACTCCAGTCGCCGGATAAATTTGTTTGCCAATTGTTCCAACAATATATTGGCAATGCCTTCAAGCCGACGAAGTCTTTTAATGTTAGTCTTTTTGTTAGACTTCTCTAACGCTTAAACTATGTATATTGATAAACATATTTTCTTTCAGGAGCTGAAATGCCTTAATTTTGCTCATAAAATGAAGAGCTCCACTAGGCTCGAGCCAAAAACGATACCAAACTCTAAATTCAGTTTTGATGTCAAACTTCCTTGTACATGTAAAAAGGTTGAGCAGATGGTGCATCTTAACCTTTGATCTGCGACTCGAAAACTATATGCAATTGCAAGTTCATCTTCTCACCAAGCTCGAGTTAAAAACTCAATTAAAATTGATGTGAGACAGTAGATGTGTTATTGTTTCTTTTTTTTGAGCCAGCGTAACTTTAAGATCCTCTGTTTGTCACGTGTGGTGGATTAGACATTGAATTTGTGTTCGCGCTTGATGCCACCGACGGAGCTTCAGATTCGAAAGAGTCCATTGGGCAGCACGCGACAGAAACATTGGCTTGAGTATAATTGGACTCAATGTCAACTCGAACTAGGACGATTTGGAGTAGTAGTGCTTAGCGATCTCATCTAGATGGAAACGCCAAACGTCTTGGATGAATAATCGAGTACTCGTACATTCATATTGTATGTAGAACAAGCTGTGATGTGAATCTACATATATAGACCAAAAAGGCTGTGGATCCGAGTCGTCGAATATGCACCATTCATGTTACTTACCTGGAAAAAAGACTCGATTTTAGTCGCAGTGCAAGGTTTGTGTTGTAAAAGGAGAACAACGATTGTAGGATGTCCCAAATGGTTTCAGAGTAAATAAAGCGCACCAAGTCTTCTAAAGAACTCTCTACACTATAACCTACCCACCAACCACTCCGCTAACCGCTGAAGTAGCATTACCAAAAGGCTTGTAAGGGCACCAAAACATTAAATCGGCGCCAACGGAGCCGAGTGAGTAGCAGTGCGTACTGAGATTCGGCTCGGGATCTTATCCCGGTGTAACCATCATTCAAAAGTTATGGAAAGGGATGTCAACCCCTCCGATGTATTTCTGACATGAAATAAAGCTCCTCGTAAATAAACCATCAGCCGTTCGGAGCCGACTTAGTATAAACTGTCGGTCCCTACTTTTGTTGGAAAAAACATGAAGACGCAAAACCACAAATTGGAAGAGGAGCTGGGCCGAAAAGTCGCGAACCAAAGAGAGAGAAAGGTATAAAGAGCCGACTGTTGGTCTTTAGTATGCCCCTAAATTGCAGGGCGCCCCTCCCTTGAGTTGGTTGAAGACGGTATGTAAAGAGGTGGTTAGTATCATATATAGACTTGTTGCATACAAACGTTGGGTAAGTCTGGCTTTAGCCGAGAAACTGTGCTAAAATAGATAATACTTTACTTGATTCAAAGACGAGAAGCTCAAATTTGTATGCAATAATTAGAGATTGGATGGAGTTAACCCGGATATATTTTTAAACAGCCAAGAACTGTCCCTCCTGTTATTAATATAATGAGACAAAAAATAATTAGACGGACCGTCTGGAATGGATTCCGTTAGGCTCACGCTAAAACGAGTCAAGTGTGAATTTTTTTAGTAGAACTGTTTTTGTTGTCGTCTTTGGTGAGTTTTAGTTGGTATGCGGGCTACGTTGCATAAAAGACATACGTTGTGTGTGTAGGAGGCGAGTCGGTCAAGGTGAGGCTCAGCGTACTACAGAATTCAGTCCTTAATTGCCTGAATATTTCACTCCGTTTACTAAGGGCGATGGTTGGATTCTGATGACGTCATTCGCAGGAAGATAGTCGTCGAATGACCCTAGCAAGATATGCTGAGATACCGACCACTATGTGCCTAAAAGTAGTCGAAAATTACTGCAAGCGAATCGAAGTTTGCTATTCACATATAATGCCAAGAAGACGATGGATATCCGGCCGACATATTCTAATACGGCGGTGAAATACTGACAACGTGCATACTTCCGTTTTTTGTTGCAATATATGGTCGGATTAAAACATGCTCTGTCCAATCCACAAAAAAAGGGATGCCCCAGTCTGCGCCAATTAATTAGGATAAGTCCACTCAATGTCGCATATGAAGTCCGGCAGAGCGTATTGTGTGGAAGACCTAAGCTCACCGTTAACAAACTGATTGAACCAGCTATTCATTTTGCGCCAAATCTTAGAAAATACCCTCTGCGTCGATTTTGAAACAGCCCAAACAGCGAAAACACGAAAAGGATATGGCTGAACTTGATATTCCCGCAAAGGGCTATGTTAACTGACCTTAAGCAGCGCAAAAAGCTCCATCAGGATCGCTCGATACCAAACGAGGTTTCAGACAATGTGATTGCTTATCATGTGCTGGAGTACGACGATAATATGGGTCTGAATGAGAGCACGATAAAATATCTTCTGTCATCAAACTAACAGTCATCGCATTCGTCACTCTTGACAGTCACAACTTTGAAGTAGTGGATAATTTAACCCTAAATGTCGTTCTTCATTCCGTCCTGCTGCCTAATGGGATGTCGACATCTGATGAGTCGGCGCTAGGAGTTTTCAAAAGAAAGGTTTTGCGTAAGATTGATGGCCCTCTACGAGTTGGGAACGGAGAATACCGCAGGCGATGGAGCGATGAGCTATTTGAGATATACGCTGACATTGACATAGTTCGGCAGCTGCGCTAACTAGTTCATGTGGTCCGGATGGATAAGAATATTCCAGCTTTGAAAATTTTTCACGCAGTACCCGTCGGTGGCAGTAGTGGAAGAGGTAGACCTCTACCCCGTTCGAAAGAGCTGGTAGTGGTCCTGGCTGTACTTGGTATTCCCAATTGGCACCAAATAGGCGAAAAGATGGAATGAATGACAGGCTGTAACTCGGCTATAATCGCATAGATGGTATCTACTGTTGTTGAGTGAAAATTCTCTACACCCATCCTGCACTGACCATAATCATGTAAAGATGATCGTGCAGTATTTCAAAAATGGTTGCATTCGATCGATTTCTACTTTTTATTTCCGCTTTGGTCGAGTATCGTCGAAAATTATTTTTTCAACTTTTTGAATACGTTCTGGCATGGTCATCTCCATGCTCCTGCTTGACGTAGGGTTGTCTTCAAGGCATTTCCTTTCCTATTCAAATAAACTGTGCCACTGGTGTGTCCTGCTTTTTTCCGGATAAGATTCGCCACAAGCCAATTATATGACAAAAATATTCTCCAAAGTACTTTTCGGGGGATGTTGCGGGAGTGATAGTTCTTGGCCGGATAAAAATCCGGGTCGTTCGAGCATAAAGACCCGACTGTCGCGGGATCTATTGGATTTTAGTCGCCTCTTATTACAGGCATGCCTTACCGCGGGTAAATTCTTGAACCCCTAACCGGCACGACATTCTGTCTTTTCCATATTTTACTTTTCACTCCCGATTATATGGATCTCAAATACTAATTGACCAATAACAATGAAACCTCGCATAAATACCAATTAAGAGGCAAAAAACACGTTACGCCTCTAATGAACCAAGCCTACAACACTGCAACAATAAAAATAAAATTAAAATTAAAATTCAGGCAAATAATATTTCATAAAATGTTTCAATTTATTCTCAAGTTCGTTTTATTATCATTATTATTTTTTATTTACGCATAGCTTAATAATATAATTATTTATTCATTTGTTGTTGTTGTTGTTGTTGCTGCTTTTTAATAAGTGTGGGTACTTCAAATACGTTTCGTTTGCAATAATCATAGCAGATAATAAAAACTAAACATTATTAATTATACATACATACATTGCATTTTATATATTTATCTCTGCAATGAAAAATAACTTTCGGAGAAGTATTTCAAAGACTTTCTTTAGGACACATCCAATCATCGTAAATATGTATGTATATATATATATATATAGTATATATGTATGTATGCTATACTCCAGAGCCGCTTGAGGCAGCGTACTTGCGTTGCAATCTCAATTATACAAAAAACACTAAATATATTCATACCTAAGCCACCATTATTTGAGTTGTGTATGTACATATATATGTGTGTGTGTGTATGTGGGTGCGTACGTAGAGAAGTACAATAATAAGAAATGCATTTTATATTAATAATCAGCAAAACTCGTATGCAAGTTGTAAATAAATGAAGAGCAAATATTTAACAATCTAAGGAGGCGGTGATAGCAAAATATATATATATATATATGTAAATGTATAACAAATGCATAATTACGATAAAAAAAATGTATGTCTGCATATAGTATGTAACCGCTTATTACTCGTCTAAAACCGCAAATATATATATATATATTTATAGTAAGTATGCTGCGGGTAAGGGGTTGTTTATTTGTTGTCACAAACACAATAATAGTTCACGGGTACCATCAGTTGGCGCTCACTCACGTGTTGTTGGGCAAGCGTTGCACTTTTCAACTTTTTTGTTTGTTTTTGGCTTTTCAGTACTGATTTAAATTATTATACATTTTCAATAAAATTTTAGCTCGCTGCTTTATATTCTATTATGCATGTGTGTACCAAATACAGACGGGCTGCTTAAATAGCTCTGACGCTGGACATGTTTTTCGTATTGAGTGTGAGTGTGTCTGTGTTTAAAATTTTAATTATTTTGCTGGCCCACCATAGCCTTTATAACTACTTTCTAACCTAACTGTTCGTATCTCAGTTTTTTATATCAATAGCGAAGTTATTATATTTTCCCCGCTTAAATCGAGGCTCTCTCTTATGTATATCTGTGAAATAACGTGCAAGCGCTTGCGTAATTTGTTGCACAGTGATCGACATCATCGCCGGTATCTTCATCATTATAGTAATGCATGACTATCAACATCGTTGCTGGTCTATTCGTGTTTGTTTTTCTTTTTGCATTTTTCAGTTTTTAGCTTTTCATTATTTCAATTCAACATACATCTAATAAATACGTTCGTAGAACAATAAATAAGCTTGCGCCTTTAGCACGGTCTCTTCGTTCACCTCTTGCACTCGAGAATCGGACACATAATACCATTTGCCCATCGGTACTTGCACATCGCGTGCTTCTTCATCACCACCGTACGCACCGCCTGCTGCTGCAGCATCGCCGTCTGTGGGCAACTCATCGGCATCGGAGGTGCTTGTTGTCGTTGTTGTTGATGAGCAATCATCGCTGTTTGAGAAATCATCGCTGTCATTCGCCGCCTTCATGCGCAATTCGCGCGCTTTCTCTTTCGCCAACAGCTCTTCGAGTTTCTTGCGTTGCTCATCATCTTGATCTAACTCCGCTTTGCTACCCTGTGGCAAGAAGTTCCAACGCTTATCATCGCGCGACAATTTTGTTCGCACCTTGACATAGGCTGTGTAGTGACCGCCATACATGCCTCCCGAATGTTCGACAATGCCATAAAGCGCGTATAAGAGTTTCTTTTGTTTACGATCGATATTTGGCAGATTTTTTACTTTCGAGCCACAGAATGGCGCGATGTCCAATACCATTGGAAAGCTGACGCCACGTGTTAGTTTGCGGAATATACAGCGCGGACCGAGTTGGAAACGTTTCAAGTGTAGTATCAATACCGCTGGCGGACTAGATATGAGAAACTGTTTGGTCGCATTCGTATTGACGGTTTTGGCCTTGGGATCGGTACCGTTAATGCGTTTTGTGCAATTTTCACAACCCACCTTGTTGTTGCCCGTCATTAGTTCGACGCCGGTGAAGTTATTCAAACACGATTGCACGGAACATTCACCATCTTCACATTGATAACGTGGCGCGATTGTCGTGCTCCAATCGGAGTGACTTTGCGTGCGTACTCGTTTGGCTTTCATGCGCGCCGCCTTTTGTTCGCTAAGTTTTAATTGCTCAAGTTGCGCTGTAATAGCTGCTTCGTCTTTCAATTCTCCATTCATGTAGACGCCTTCTACGCTGGCAGCTGACTCCGTTATCGAGAGTTGGCGCATCATTGTGGCGCCCTTTTCGCTCAGACCGACTGCGAGTAGACTATTATTTGCAGTGACAGAATTTCCATCGCTGCCTCCGTTCGTTTCGGAACAAGACAGGAAATTGCTGCCTGCATTGGCCGGACTATTGGCGATACCAGAATCTGTGAGAAGTGAAAATAGTTAATACGATTAGAATATATTTTTTTTAAGATATTTTTTGTTTGAGTTTCTTACCATGTTCGTCTTCATCCAGCGAGTCTTTGTCCATGTGTTCTGGTGATTCGTCTCGCTTCTCCGCCTTGCCGGTGTGCGGCAGCTGATTGTTGCCATTCGTGTCATAAGTTGTTGCGTTTAAGGAACGCGTGGATTTCGTTACCGCATTATCGTCGAGCAGGTTGTCTTCTACATCAGCATCGGATTGTTCAGATGAGGATGTTGATGAGGAATATCCAGCAGCATCTTCACGGTTGGCACAGCCGATTTCAGTGTTCGCTGCAGTTGCATTCGCATCTGCCGCACCATCTGTCGCATTCTCATATAAAGCTTTTTGCCGCAATTTAGTTTCATGATGCTTAGCCGCACGTTTTGCTTTGCGTTTCTTCTCTTTTTCTTTGTTCAATTGCGCCTTCGAGGGTCCGGCTGGTGGCGCATTTAGGAAAAATGAGCATGTGTTTGGTGTATTTTCGGGGCTGGTTTTACGCCTAATCGGCGGTTGTGGTTTTTCTACACTAACTGGCAATGACATATCTAAAAAGTATTCATGCCGTGAAGATACATTAAAGCAATCTTGACAAGTCAGCGTGGAGACGAGGAAGCCACGAAACACTTGTTCTGGGCGGAGAATACGATCAGCTGCTTGATTACCGTAGATTTTACATTTTTGTCGCATCTCTTCGGAAACGCTATTTATGTCCTGATCCTTATAGCCGAGATTGGTTAGGATTACCCGTTGGTAACGTTTCAAATCTTCAGACCTGCAAAATTTATAATCAGCGAGAAATCGGATTTGGTGTATAGGAATGTGACTTACCGCACGCTCTCAAGTAGATGACGTAAAAGTTCATGAGAGTCGTGTTGGTCACCTCCGCGGAACTGCGGACATTTTGTGCAGAGTTTGTCGAACAATTTGCTGGGGGTAAAAACGCCGCCTGTAATCAGAAAGTCGGAATAAGTTTTTAAGTATATACTGAGCTAAACAATACGAATGGAAATGAAAGGAGGCTTAGGAGTTATGGAGGGAATGTGCGTTTCCACTTTGCAGACCCGACCTTAAATTGGCCAACTTTTAGGCTTGAGGTTTGAGTTTGTTGCACTACAAGCACTATACTCACCTCCTGACTGCAGTTCTTCTAAAGCCTGTGCGAGTGCTGCAGTTAGTCCGCCCCAAGATGACAAGGTACCTTTAATCATTGGCAAGTGTACATCTTCGTCATCTTTGAATTTAAATGTACCACCTGGAAGAATAAATCTAAAATGACAAAAAAAAAAAGTTATTTCAATTTAACCACATCTCATATGCACAAACTTACTCTTCACCCGGTTCCGACAACTCTTTGAGCACGTCCAACAAATAGGGTGTTTGAGCCAAGCATTGCATTACAGCATTGAAGAAGCATGTATTGCCCAAATTTGTCAAACCTCGCACACGTGGTAGTAATTCAATTTCTTTTGGGTCAAAGTTGTTTTGAGGTTTTTTTATATTCAATATAGGGGCCGATATAATAGCAGGATCTGTGATACGTTTGGCCATACCAGGTATGGGTGGTGGCGGTGGCGGCGGTAACGGTATTGGCTTATTTGACAATTCTCCGGATTTGGTCTCAACAAGGGGACGGGAAGATTCCCATGTTGCTAGTAATTTGCCTTCGATATTATTGAGTTGTGTATTTGCTGCGGGTGAAGCTACAGGAGGAGGTTTTTGAGCAGTTTTCTTGACCATTTCGACACATTCCAAGAGATTTTTGCGTGAATTGGATTTAACCTCGTTATCGCAATCATAACACCATATTTCATAAGAGCGTGTGTTCATTGTAAGCGAATGCGAGTCGGAGTGAGGTGTCTAAGAATTTAAAAGAAAATTAATGGCTAATAACAGACAATTAATAATAAAAAATATATAAATATTTTACCTTATAATGTTGTAACGCATGTTGGTTCCTTGCTCGTCCGCATAGCTGCGAGCCACACTTAAGGCATAACCATAAAGTGTTATCATACTCAAAGCCACAAATAGATTCATCCATGGAAGACTCCTTAACCTCTGCTGCAGGTGACGTAGCGCCTTGTTTTGCGCATTGCATGCATTCCGCGACCAGTCCATTCGTTTTCAGAACTTTGCGCAATTTAGTGGTGTCAACGGATTTTTTAGCATGCTGACAAACGCCAGTGGCGGAAGGACTCAACATTTGACCGTCAGAGGAGTCCGTGGAGGAACCATCTTCAAGTGCATCAGATTGACGCTTCTTCTTCACCATAACTACGTAATTATTTTCTGCGTTTAGTTAAAATAAGCGCTTTGTAAAGCTTCACTAATCAAGTTAAGGTACGTATGTATGCACCTATGTAATTAGCGTGTATTGATAAGTACCTAGAAGAGATAAGAAAATGCTTGTTTTATAGCTTTTCCTTATGTTTATTGCACCAATTACACAATTTCCTTTTTTATAAATGCACTTTTACTGAAAAATTTCATTTTTTCTGTGTCACAGTGCAACTTTTTTCCTGCAGTTGAGGTTAAGTTCACACGTCTGCATAAATCAAGGAAAACAACAACAACAAAAAATCAGCAATTGGAAAAGAAACAATACGTCTTCATTTTTAATAATTGCCAAGGGATTGACAAATCGTTGAGTGACTAGAGAAGCACCATTACTCTTTGACATATCACAAATTTTAACGAAATAGAAATTCTTTGTTTCGTACAAAATGTTCAATTTTTTACATACACACAAATATGATTTGTTCTTTGTCCTAGTTTTTCAGTCGACATCTAACACTCTTGGAAACCTAATTTTATAGCACAGAATATCAGTAAAACATTGTTCTGTATTTATTTACCTTAGGAAATTCGTTAGCTTTCCTATACGTTTATATTTAGGTTTTTAATATTCATAGGAAATATCTCTAACAATCCTTTATACAAACTGACACAGATCTTAACACAATTTGTATTGCCTGAAATTTTCACAAAATGTGACACACTAGAAACGTCAAACATTATTTGGCGTGTCAGCACCAACGCAGAGTTGTATTTTTAGGTAGGCAGGTCAAATATTTTATTAATTTTTTTAAATTGATTTCTCTTAATTCAAAGCAAATTTACAATAAGTGATTAAAAAAAAAAAAATTTCCATATTTAGAATTTATATATATAATTGGCGCTTTGTAACCGCTGAAGCGATTTTCAGCCGAGCTCCTCCTCCAATTTGTAGTTTTGCATCTTCATTTATTTTCCAACAAAACAGAGGGACCTACTGTTCATTCTGAGCCGCCTCCGAACGGCTGACGACTTTATATGAGAAGATTTATTTCATGTTACTCGGAGGGGTTGACATTCCCTGCTAGGAAAATTGAAATTAATTTTCGGCTACCGCGCCCGTTCAGAATTTATACCGACGCAAATAAACATATCATTGTTTCTTCTTATTTGAGAAGGAGTGTTTAAAAACAAAAAAGAGAACAATTATTCATGCAAGTGAATAAAAACTGTTAAGCTTTAACCCGAGATGCAACACTGCGCTTTTCATTTGCGCCATCTGCATGCCGAACTTGAATTCAAGGAACTTCCATATTCCGAGGCTTATATTATTCAGTTATGAACAATAATAAATTCAAGGTCTTCAATTATTTTTAATGCTTTTCTAGGAATATTTTTAGTATCAGTAAGAGTATCTTTTTCTTTTTTAATTTGAGGTGAGCGTCTATAAAAACTGAGGTGGCTGAGTCCGGTGATATGAAAAATTGAAAAGATTATTGTGTGTGCTTTTTCCTCTGGTTGAAACTAGAATTAAATAATTTCGTTGAAAAATAAAACGAGCTTTCAGCTATCTTGCGGCTCATGATTAGTCGCAATATTTTACTGCGAGAGTCGAATAACGAACCAACCTTCGTGGCGGGGGAATCTATAGTTCTGGTTGGTCGATAAAGTGATTCGCTTAAACTTTTCGACCCCTGCCGTGTTGATGTAGTTGTAGCGGCTCGCTCAAGCCGCTTACTCTACGCCGTCGAGCTCAATTAACGAGCTCAATTAACATGAGGGCCTCCGACCAGAGGGAGCGGAGTGCTAGATGAATGAGTTCGGCCTTTTTTGCAGCTACTCTCGATAGGCGACTAGGGGAATGCAAGAATGTGAGCTCTTATTCTTCGTCGGTATTCTGAAGTTCTTCATGAAGTCTCGCTTAGCACTTAAACTCTTAGTATTTCTTCAACACAACATGGGTTGCGAACGCAGCGTTTACGAAAATCCTTATTTACAATGGAGGCCCTACATATATATATATAAAGGGTGATTTTTTTAAGAGCTATAGGAAAGTTTAAAAAAAACACATAAAATTCAGAAAAATGCATGAAATCTTTATTTGAACCGATAGTACGGTCCATAGAATTTAATTTTTGAAGATTATTTCAACCAAATATTGACCTGATCCTCAAATGGTCCAACATTTCAGACGGTATATCACGGATAAATGTTTCAATGTTATCCTCTATAGCGTCAATTGAACCGGGCTTATCTGTATAGACAGACATTAGGTTTAACATTTTCGCACAAAAAATAGTCCAAGGGCGTTAAGTTGCACGATCTAGGCGGCCAATTGACCGGTACCGAACGTGAAATAAACTATTCACCGAACTCGCCTGCCAATAAGTCCATGTGGCTGAAGTAATTTTCGGCCGAGCTCCTCCTAAAATTTGTGGTTTTGCATTCCCTGCCGAGGGGTGACCGCAATTAGAAAATTGAACTTAATTTTTTATTTAAATTAATTTTCTATAACTTTTGGATGTTGGTCGCACGGGGACTTGAGCCCGAGCCTTCCGAATGCTAGTACGCTATGCTAACCACTCGCCTACTGCGACCGCCGTAGGTACCGTACATAGTGAGCTTAAATTCAGTCTCAAAATTCGCTTGCAAAGGGAAAGCCAAAGTACTACCAAGCTCAAAGTTCATAGGCCGAAAAATTCAGATAGGTTGATGACAATGAAATGCATGCCATACACATACATACAATACTTATCTCACCTAAAACTCTTTTCCAAACGATCTGCCAGCTTCGACTTCCTGTCGATTTTTTCTTTGCTAATTTCAGGCAAACTCTTATGACCCATACCCGCGACGAGGTTTTTATTGTTTCTTATCGTAAGCGGCCGGTTCGGCTGACTGCTAATGCAAGTGAGTGGATGGACCGCTCAGCGAGATAAGCATGCAACATCTTATCGGCGCTTATCTTCAACGCCACTTGAACGTTTTTTGCGTTTTGCGACTCCACTACACTTTGCCACAACCCAACAATTTCGTGGCCATCATAAATGCAACAAAACGGCTGGCTGGGGATGCGCTCGCGGATAGCAAACAAAAAGGAAGCAAAAAACAAAGATGAAATACTCGAAGCAAACACAACACAGACCACAAACGAGCGTAAAGCCACACATATGGCAGACACAAAAACACACAGTACGAGCTCGCACACATACTCGTAAAGCGAGTTTAACTTGGCTTTGGCCACGGCTGGACGCGTCAATGCGATCAGCGGCGGTTGATGAAAGAGCCGGGGCCATCGTCATCGGAACGTCAACTCAATATCATTGGCAATGACGTTGACGACGTACGAGTACAGCGACATTGCAAACAGCTGTGAAAAAAATATTTACGAACAAACAAACAAATAAGCAAGCGAATATTGAAAGTGCCGCGCATCGCTGCCGTATCTGACGGATACAATAAATGCATTTTAATTGTAATTAAAATTACATGCGACAGCCCGGTGGCGATGTGACGATGCGGGACGCTGTTGTGCTTGTACGGGCCATGGGAGATAACTGAGTATGTATGTGTGTATGTGTGTATGCATGCATTTGACTATCGCTAGTTTTGCAGTTGAAATTATCGGCGCAATTAATCGCGAAACTCGTTTCAAATTTTAATTGACGTTTTACGAAGTGCCAATTCAGGGAGAGAGAGAGAGAGAGTGAGAGGGATAGAAAGCGCTCGTTTTTATAGATACTGGATAATAAATAGTCACGTTTGATTACTTAATAAGTTGGTGACGTAGACTTATCAAAAACTTGCATCTTCATCTCATTATTATCAATCGGGCGATCAAGTGATGCGGTCCTCCTCGAAGAGTCGGCGAAGTGCTTGGATCCAAAATTGTATTATATTTTTAATGATGGAGGATCAACTCTTACGATCTGAGTAACTTGTGAAAAAACGAAAGTAGAAAACTATTTTTTAAACTCCTTCTCTTCTTGGGAGGAAGTGTCAATAACTTCTAGTGATACGCGGGCATGCATCGTACAGTTTCCTCTGAGAGCTGTAAGTCATAAGCACCTCCTTCTCTTTACTGTCGTAGGCTCGGCTTACGCGACAGAACCGAGCCAACAATAATGCGCCAGTTTTTTTCTCTTCGAAGATCCGCACTCATTAAATCAGCCATAGAGTGGAGTTCTTTTTTCTGATCTTTTTTCATCGACGTGTACCATAATACAACGAATATTTTCAAAGCTACGTTTTTATCATCCATCACCGAAATTATCTACAACTTTAAATCCCACTCTTGCACTCTTTCCGCACGCACACATTCTGCAAATCTGGACAGCCCTTGAGCGTAATGCAGTAAACAACCCATGTGGGGTCTTAAGTCACGCCTAAAAGAGATAGAGGTTTAAGGACTTTTAGTGAGACTCTATGCTGCAGCGTTTGTTCGCCAGATATATGGTTGCTGGCGGACGTTGGCCTTGAAGCGAACGGCTCGCGCAGCGAAGTTGAGTATTAAGGATGGCACCTGCGGCGTAGAAACCAGCCACAATGAAAAGGAAAGCAATGATCTGGATGAGAGACCTAATGTAATATTACTTATGGTTCTCGTCATCTTCCTGTTTACACATTTCCTGTACTCAATTCTGCGATTAGGTTAACAATTTCAATATATTTCAATCCAATGACTTCTGACTGTAATCAGTAAAGCGCTCTGGAATCCGGCACTGGTTAGCGAGGAGCAGGCAATAGACATTATGTCTCTGAGGTAAGAAAGACGATGGTACGCGGGAAGTGCTAAGATAGTACAACGCCAGATAAGTCTCAGCAGCAATAATACAACTGACGTCTTTTCACACTGATCGTTTGGCCTGGGGTTAAAGTGAGATAGCCGAAGCGGGGAAAGGCATATTGCTTCGGACGCAAATATTTGTTGTCGGCTACATAGCGGTAACTGGAAACTAGTGACTACTGGTGATGCCTTTTTCTCTACAGGTGTAGACTCTGCTTATGCGTTATGGCCAAACTTATAATATTGCGCTATGCAATTCTCTTTTTCGATTTTGGCGAAAACTTGCAAAGCTGGTGTATTCTTATCCATTCGGCCAGCGCAGCCGCTATTTTTTGATTCGCTGAACTATGTCAATGTCGGCGTATATCTCATACAGCTCATCGTTCCATCGGTTGCGGTATTCGCTGTGTCCAAATCGTAAAGAATCATAAATCTTAGCCAAAACATTTGCCTCGAAAACTCCGACTCAGCAGATGTTCTCTTCGTCCATGCCTCCGCACTACACAGCAGAACGGGAACGATGAAGGACTTGTAGAGTTTGGTTTTCGTTTGTCTGGAAAGGACTTTACTTTTCAATTGCCTACTCAGTAAGTAGCACCTGTTGGCAAGAGTGATTCGGCGTTGCATTACTAGGCTGGCTTTTTTTGTTGGTGTTAATACCGGTTCCTAGATAGACGAAGTTATCTATGACTTTAAAGTTATGAACGTCAGCACTGACGTGGGAGCCAAGTCGCGAGTGCGATGACTATTTGTTTGATGACAGGAGCTATTTCGTCTTGCCCTCGTTTACCAGACCCATACCCCTCGCTTCCTTATCCAGTCTGTTAGTATCATCTGTGCGTCAATATTAGTTGTTTGAAAAGTCGTCTCACAGATTCCTTATACTGAGTGGCTGATAGGTGCTTTCAGAGAGCAGGAGTACAACTCGAGTAGAAAA